CCCAAGTTCTTTGATTCGTGCTTGGTTTTCTCTTAAAAAGATGCCCCAACTTGGTAGATGATTTTAGGTTTCCTTGTGTGATTTAAAGTCCAAAATTGTGTCCAGCGTGTGTTGGCGCGGCCGCGCGAAACTCAGTGCAATTCTCGCACGGCCGCGCGAGAATCGTCGAACCTTCTGCCCAAATTCAGCATTTGGCACGGCCGTGCCACAAATAGCCTAATTTTGGCACGGCCGTGCGGGCCTATTTTCAGCCAATTTCAGCATATTTTTGATTATTTCACTTTTGGCCCACATTTTCTCCAAATTTGCAGTTTTGACCCCAAACTTTTCCAATTCTTCAATTTATACCTAAAATACAATAAATCATCTTTTTAAGCACCAATTATCGTTAATTCACACAAAAAGCTCAAATAAACAGATACGATAAAGTGTAAAAAATATACACTTAACAGTGTGCATGACAATTCCAAGACTATCATGTATGGCTCTTGAGTTTTGAGTATAGGGTGAAGTATATAATCATTAAAACTTCAAATAAAAAATTAGAAAATGTAGGTTAATTAATTAAACTTGTAAGATTGTTGAAAAATACAATTTTTTTGGACTATTTATAAATTGAGTCCATTTGATATACACCCTAGCATGGAAAATATATAGGGATAGGTCCACCCCTAAAATTCTTCCTTTGAGATAACCCCTAGAGAGGCAAAAGTACTATTGTGCCCTTAAGTGCATTTTCGCCCAACTGCATTTATTATTTTCGCCCTGCATTCAGCATAATGCCAAATTGCATTTAGATTTTGGGCCTGCATTTATCATTTTTACAGATTTTTTTAATAAAAAAATATAAATGTTTATTTTATTATTATTCTTTTCTATATACCCTATTTTCTGTTTTATTAATTATTATTTAATTTTTTTAATTTTTTTAATTTTTTTAATTTTTTTAATTTTTATTTTTTTAATTCAATTTTTTTTAATTTTTATTTTTTTAACTCAATTTTTTTTTTTTTTTTTTTTTAATTTTTTAATTTTTAATTTTTTTAATTTTTTAATTTTTTTGATAAATTTACTGTACCGAAATTGACTACACATGACTATATTATACTACACATGACTATATTATACTACACATAATTGTAATATACCACAATCATGTTATGTAATCATGTACTGTTTTTTTACCCAAAATTAATCTACACCAACAACAAAATTTACAATTTCAATCTTGATATTATAAATCAACTAACCCAAAAAAAAATGAAAACACAATCACATCCATAAAATCTTCAAAACATGAACACGCATTACTATACATTAAAAAACACATAACACATATATAACTATATGTTACTACGTGTGACTATAGTTATCTACAATTATCTACAATGAAACGTCACATGACACTTCTCTGCATCTTATTCTTTGCATCTCATAATGTTACACAAAGCAAAACCTGTGATAAAAATTACAAGTTAAAGAAAACAAAGAACAAAATGGAACAAGCGAATTATATTACGTGAAAAAATACAAAAAAACAATGAAAGACATTTTCTTGATAAATATATTTTGGTGAACTATAGTCACAAGTAGTTGTTACTGCATATATATGACTAGATATGACTATATGTAGTCAACTATAGTCAGATGTAGTTATGTTCATTCTTGTTACTACATGTGACTATATATAATGTTACACAAAGCAAAATATGTGGCAAAAAATACAAGTTAAAAAAAAGGAAGAACAAAATGGAACAAGCGAATTATATTACATGAAAAAAAATACAAAAAAACAATGAAAGACATTTTTTTGATAAATTTATTTTGGTGAACTATAGTCACAAGTAGTTGTTACTGCGTCTGCATATGACTACATATAACTATATGTAGTCAACTATAGTCACATGTAGTTATGTTCATTCTTGTTACTATATGTGACTATATATGACTGTATATATACGATCATATGACTATATATGTATATGAATAAAATTCATCTACACCACAAAAAAAGTTCACAACAGTTTAAGATAATGAATTATGCAATCCTGCAGATGCTGCTGCAACATTCATTATACTTTATTTAAAAAAAAATACAGGAAAAAAAAAAATCAAAACACAATTATGGGGCTTTGTGCAGTTTCCAATTTACCACCTTGGTACTAAGACAAACCATAGAAACTTGGTAAATTAAATCACGTAATGAACAAAACATTCCTTACAGTAGCATTACGCTGTGACGATTAATAAACATTTTGCCAGCTACTATGAAGTCATGTCATAACATAGAAGACAATTTTCAGATCCCAAATCCGTACGGGGATAAAACGAATCTAAAACGAAGATGGGGAAAACGGAGAACGGGAAAATATAAAACGAATCTGAAACGAAGACGAGGAAATATAAAACGAATCTGAAACGAAGATGGGGAAAACAGAGAATGGGAAAATATAAAACGAATCTGAAACGAAGACGAGGAAATATAAAACGAATCTAAAACGAAGATGGGGAAAACGGAGCAGGGAAAATATAAAACGAATCTAAAACAAAGACGGGGAAAACGGATCGGAGCAGGGGAAAAACAATACAAAACGGAGCACCTTGTAGATGTAGATCTTGTACTTCTCCACGCTCTTCTTCGTCCTCTTCTTCTCTCCACCGAAATTTGCCTTGCCGGCGTCGTTGGGGAGCTTCTTGCCGCCGGCCTTCAGCTTCTTCTCCGTTGCCGGAGACTTTTTTGTGCAGTGGTTTCTTTTTTGGCGAGAGAGAGTTAGAGAAAGGGAGAGATCGATAGAGATAGAGAGAGTGAGATACGTAACGGCAGTTTGTGGGTGTGGGTGAAGAGAGAGGAAGGGTTAGGGCATCTATTGAATTGAAACTAAAAGGGCAAAATAGGTATTGTAAGTTGTCTAGGGGGGTCTCACTAATTAAGATGAGAATTTGGGTTTTTGACTAGGACAGAAAAATTTATTGGACCTCCTCATATATATTTTCAAAACTAGGGGGTTATCATTCATTTACCCTTATAAATTTGATAGAAGGCGAATCTAAAATAATGGAAAGAACATAAGTTAATAAATGCAAAAGTTTCACCTTTTTATGTTATTTTTCTTTTAATTGTGGGCTTTAGTAAATACTAAAAACTTAGATTCTATAAGAAAATATTAGAAAATTACAAAAATCGGGTGTAACCGTGAAAACCTTTTTAGTTGAAGAGCTAAGGGTTAGGTTTTAATTTCCCTAAAAATGTTACATGCTCATAAATGTAAATTGCTTGATCTCGTTGCTGCATATTATGTAATTAATGAATATCTTATCTTAGAAAATCCAATATTCTCAAGAAAATCTACTTTAATATATCCTTCTAATTTTGCAAAATCATTTAAATACCATCTCTTTGCATTATAAATTTCATAACACACACTAACACAAACATAAAATTGACATAGAGACAGAAACGAGAAATGGCCGTACCTCGTATTCATAACGTTTTGCTAATAATGTTTATGATAATTGGGTTTACAACAATGAAGATCGACATGGCCTTGGGCCAACATCCCAAACCCCCCGGAATTGTGTCCCGTTGTTTGGGCATAACCAATTTCATCGTATACTGTTCATTTTACCTATCTACAATAGTTCCTGCTCCTTTGCTTTATAAGCCAAATGCAAGATGTTGTAAGTATGCCCGAAAGACAGATATAAAACTCTTTTGTCAAAAATTCGTGAGTGGTAAGGATATAATATATAGTTCCTATAAAGTGGTAGATCTTGCAAGACATTGTGGTAATCCACTTCCAATTGGTACAAAATGTGGAAGTAAGTCTCAATTCCTTCACCTTTGTGTTCCCATTGAAAATACTTTCATGTAGCTACGATAAATTTTATATGAATTTAGTTAAATATGTTAGAAAACTACTATAATTAAGAAAGAAGTTTGAAAATGTTTCAGGTAGCATTTGGAATCTATAGAAAATGACTTAAAAATACGTCAAAATAAAGTTAATGATTTGAATACATCGTAAAATAGATTGATCAACTAATTTTAATTTAATGGATGTATGTATTTGAAATCCTCCCTTTAGATTACGAAAAAAAAATTGATGCATTTGTTATTTTGGATTTGAAATCGTTTCTACAAATCATTGGATACAAACATTTGCAGATTTTTCTTTATTATGAATTGTTAAATATTTTCCTTTAAAAAAACTCGTTCAATACAAATGATGTATGCACTGAGGTATAATAGGAGTACTAATGGAAAATAAAATAATGAGTAAAATTTCAGAATAGTTGAAAGGAGTAAAATGGGATTATGATAAATCTCTTACAATTGTTTTTGACATCGATTTCTACAATGCAGATTATGTAGCGCCCCCATGAAGTGAATAAAAACTCGGAAGCCGGCATACTACTTAGATGCTAAAAAATTACATATAGTTAAATCATGGTCCTTTTAATAATTCAAAAAATAATTGGGTAGTCTCAAATGCTACCAAATTGCATGAAGCTAATTCATGGTCCTTCAAATCTAAAAAAATAATTTGATATTTGTTCGATGGTTACACCACCTCCGTCGTGTCACCGTTGTTGTACAATAGTTGTGAGGTGCGAGCAGAAAATTATGAAATTGTTTGTTTGATGGTTAGGTCACTACATAATGATAAATAAAATAAATATTATTTTACTGATATCGTGTATGGTATAATACTGATCATCATTTTACTTTAGATACACATCTGGTATAATCGTTGCGAGGAACGAGTATGAACTTAGGGAATTGTTTCCTTACATAAATACGATCACTTACGATAATGATACATATGAATGTAAACACAACATCTATGTTACATATTTGAGAAAAATATTACAATCATAATCTCATTTATTTATTTATTTTCTCAGTTCTCCTTGTAAGATTATATATTTTGTGATTTGGATATAAAATATTGGACAAGAAAAATACTATCATAACAATACATGGAATCAAGAGAATTAAGTAATAAAGAGATTCAATTATTGTTGATGAACTTCATTCATATCGATCGAAAATGATTTAAATAATGAAATTAAATCTAGAGTATACTTAAGTAGTGATTACATCAGGCAGAATGGTCATACTCCCTAGCACTCGACCACCAACATCTGGAAATAAATTGTGTCCAGGCAATGGGTTTATTTTTCCATCAGCTTCGATTTTCACTGGATATTTAAGAATGTGCCCTTGTAGCGGACTGTACTCCTCAGCTGTGTATTTCTTCCAGTTATCTTCAGCAACATTATTTATGTACTTCACACATTCCAAATTCTGGGGATCTTTGAAGCAATTCTCGATGCATCCAAGGTGCTCTGCCCAAAGTGACATTCTATATCCATATACCTACAAATATATAAACATCCTATTTTTTTAAAGAATAAATTTCATACAATTGTTAATAAAATTTTATAAAATTTTGGATCTTCATTTCTTATTTTTATCATTCTAGAAATGTGGTGTGCGTCGCACGTGTATTAACTTTTCTATACCTTGAAATATATGAAATGATGGTTATACCAATCAAAGTCAATTTGTTTTCCATGAATACATAGAAAATCCCATCTCTTATTTGGTTTTCCATGACACTCCACTCTTATTTGTATTGTGCCTAATAATCTGTGAATTTAATGCATATTTATACCACAGTTATACACCTTTATTCCACACTATTGCATAGGCCGAATTGTGTTTTTATTATTATTATTTATAATATGTATTAAGAAATTACTTAATCGGCCTTCACATCTTACCTATTCAAAGTGATACTTTATTTGTTAACATATAAAATGGAAGAAACCGCGATGATTCATACTTTTACATATATAATTAATAATTATAAATATAATATAATTTAAAATATAAAATAAAATAAAATAATATAATATAATATAACATAACATAATATTACACTATAATAATAATAATAATAATAATAATAATAATAATAATAATAATAATAATAATAATAATAATAATAATAATAATAATATGTTATAAAAGCAAAATAATAGGAACAAAGACAAGACTTATAACCTGGCCAAGTGGATGTTCTTTCTTCTTGATCCATGTATAATGGGGCTGATAAGCTCCCATAGCAATCTCTACATCTCTATGACCCGCCATCGACCGTTGATTGATGTTGGCCGAACCAATAATTATGTACTCATCATCCACTATCATTCCCTTGGAATGCACATATATCATAAATCGCCTAAATGCTTCTGAAGCTGAATCCTGCCATATAGTTGCTCTTCATTAATATACTGCTGAATATAATTGATTGAAACTCCAAATTCCTAAACTTGGGAATAAGTAAATGTTTTTGAACCAAAACTTGATGAGAAAATGTAAATTAGTTCCATGGCATGAACATGTGTGATTAGTTATGTTCGAATCAATGGTAGCACCTCTGACTTTTCTAAGAAAAAAAATTATATCGACAAGCATATATATCACTAATGTAACATGGGTTCAATGAAAAAACAGTTGGATGATGTGAAGTATTTAACATGAATTTAATATAAAACAGTCATCACATTGTGTGTGTAAGTGTTCTGTGTCACTTCAATTCAGGTAAGAGCCCACATAATATGTACAAAATACTAGCGCAGTCATAATACATCAAATTGAAGGACAATTACAATATCTAACTTACATTGGACGATTCTTGTGTATGTCCATCATCTCGTTTACCAAGACAGTAGAAATTCAGATAGTCGGTTGCATGTGCGTTCTCAACATTGGAAGATTTGAGCTCTTCAGCGATAATTTTATACATCATTTGCATTGTTTGTCTCTATAGTGGTGAACAATTAATTAGAGAAAATGACGTATAAGTAGAACATAAACAAGAAAAGATGCAGCATAATGCAAAACGTATGTAACAAACCCATTAGTTAAGTTCTTCAAATAAGCTTTATAGTTAAAAGACTGATGACCAAAAAAATGATATTTTTCTTAGTTTAAATTAAGACATTACCTGCCAATACAAAATTTGTTGTACAGAGGAACTAGAAGGTTCACCCTCCGGCCACATGGGAATGATAACATATACACCGAATCTCTCATTTGCCCTTATTTTGCTGGCGATCTTTAACGCCAATTCCATTGGGATTAAATTATTAGCACCTGACAAAAACAATTATGGGACATTTATGTAACATTAAATGCAATAGAAACAGCTCAGAAAGTTGTTAATTAGAATGAAGTTATTAGGCTAAAAGGTCAACTATTTTGATCTAGTTTATATTACACCCCCGAAGTTAGGTCAAAATGAAAATATAGGCCAAACTTTCTCAAAATATCTCTTGTTAATAACCTGTATATCAATCTACCTTAAGCAAGCTTATTTATTCAAATTACATAGCAAGTATTGTTATTAAAAGACTGTGATATAACTGTTTATACAAAAGATTATCTAGATCGTACATTTTAATGGACTTCAAATCAATTAACGTTGCAGAATAAATGGATATATTATTTGGATAGTAAAATGAAGATAAATATTTTTACAAACAACTTACCTGTTTTTTTATTACAGGGCCAAGCGAAAGATGATCCAATAAAATATTGATTCTCAACGAATATGAAGCGTTGAGCAGATCTTATTGCCTGGATATAGGCCATTTGGATGCTCCTATCTATTGCCCATTTTTTTTCAAACACGAGGTTCTGGAATGAATAAAATATTCATGAACTTATTGACGAGAGATTATAGAGAAGTTAAAAAAAATATAGCTAACACAAATAGGAAGTTCGATAAAACTGAAGACTTATAATTACTTGTTCCTTTGCTGCAAAGACATTTGTGGGGAACCCTTCCACTGATTCTGAATCCACAGAGCGAAAAATCTATTCAAATCAAAATAAACACAAGATCAAGTTTTAATACCTAGTTATGAATATAATATTTTTTTTTTTACAATAGTAAGACGTGCATTACCTGAATATGCCAGTTTTCAGGATCATTTTCCTTGAAGGCCCATAATGATGGATGGTCATTGGGAATAGTTCCGGAAGGACTAGCTATTTGCGAAATGTGTTCAATGTCAACTAAAATATAATCATGCCACCCTAATATTAATTTACAAATCCTTGTAAACTCAGAGCATTCAGTTGCTTTTTTCCACCGTTGCTCGAAGTTCTTGAGCACATCATAAGCAGCTGGGCCTTCGATTCGGCAATGTAAATCATGCCACGGTTGTCTTGGGCCTTTTTTTCCTTGCTATTGAGAAATATAAATACAAATCATTACATGAGATAACTTACACCACATGAAAATTAAGGTGTAACTTAGTGAATTTATTCACATGTTTATCAGCACTTTTACTGCAAATTCAGAAACTGGTATATTGACGATAACATCCACATTCATGCCAAATTTTTCTTTACAACAATGTGGAACAAAGCACGAAAAGAATGCAAGAAAGTGTATTCCCTTTTGATGGAGGACGAGTAAATTATTCGAGAGAGAAAAAAGTCACATAATAAGTTATGTGATGTAACTTTCCAACATAATATGAGCAGAGAATAATTTTATGTTTTCCATTAAGATACTATAACACATTATTACGAATATATTGAAGCAATATAACGAACATTATGGCTCTTAGCTCAAGAATACTTGGTCATTATTGTTTGTTATCTACAAATTACACATAAGATTAATGAATTGTTTCAAAATCCTATCATTTAATTTCCTCATTAATCATGTTCCTTGAACTATATGATAAGTGCATTACTGAAAGTATGAAGAATTTTAGTGGGAGATTTAAATGAAGAACTTACACAAAATGTTGGATTATGATAATCATTCTTGAAGATAGTGTCGATATCATTATATAATCGATGATCCGGTGTATCATATCGCCCATCACAAAGGTCCAAACCACCAAGAAATGCAATTATTTTTCGGTTATTTTCATGGCCTTTGGCGTCTACTATCACACATTTCTGATGTTGACTGTAGATGATTCGACAAACCTAAATAGATTAAAAAAATAAATACAAATGATCATTCTCTAATTTTTTTCTGAAAATCACCAGAATTCGAGTTTATTAAGGCATTTGTGTAAGTGAATTGATTTAAAGTAAATAGTGTGTAAAGAATGCATGTGGTATGATATTAAAAATTTTGTAACGAGTAGCCAACACGCAAGTGACACCAGAGTGCTTGAAAAATTTTCGCGTTTCTTTATCATGAGTTTGCATCATTCCGCCCTGTACCAAAATATATCAACCATATATCATCGAACAATCTACAACAGTAACTACTACGTATACACTACAAAAAATGTAACAATTCAAAATCAATTTCTTACAATTTTAAAAAGGCACTTGTCTTGTGAAGTTTTATCATCCCAAATTAGTAGCACAACTCTCACCCCTTGTTGAGACTTGTACTTGAGCAGCTCCCCCAAATTCAAATCCCCACCATTCGGCAATGGTTTACTAGGCTCCCTCACCAACATTATCTTATGATAAATCGACCACCCTGCAATATATACCAAATTTTGTGCCTCCAATATTGCATGGCATATATCCTCCCAGCACTTATGGTGCTCAAAATTTTTCCCATCACCCAACTTGATATCAGGCAGCCTCCCATCAATCACGTGTGCATCTTGATAAAGAGTTAATTTTCCTCCATGCCGCAACGGAAAATAACTACACATTACTGCGTAGTTTTCTGCGATGCCATTTGCGTAAATTGGATTTATGTTGCATGGAGTGAATGTAATTTGCAATCTTATTGCAGTATGAGTCCCATCTGTTCCTACCACCGGAAACCATTCATCTATTAGCTCGCCCATTACAATTTTCTTTGCCGAAACAAATGCGTTGAGTATCTTTTTGGATATATGAGTGTCTATAAGAGCGAATCTGACCTGTATTAGCATCAGCCAAATATCAGAACTTGTTACCGAGTAAAAATATTCTAAAATTTTAATTTATTAGAACAAAATAGTTAAAATAATAATTATATATTGATAAATAATAAATGATACCATCGGATCCTGAATACTTTTTGTTAAAAAAATTCGTACGTACAATATCCCCAAGTTTTTATTTCACAGTCTCAAATCTGAATTAACATACATCGAGGAAGGAGGAGGAAAGAGAAATGTTATACAATATACTTTTACAAGCAACAATGTTTATGATCATACTATTCATGTTCCTCTTAATTCACTATACCCCCAAAAGCTCCTCTACAAGCTCCGTCTCCCCATGCGACACCACCGGAAACTATAAAGCTATCGCACTGTGAGTCGGTTAGGGCTCAAATGGGACGGTGCCAAGGCATGTGGGATTTTGGGGGAGTGTTGGTAAGGCATATGGGTCTATCATATATTATTTTCCAACCATTAATTTGATTGCAATGAAGGTTTGTAAGTAAAATTTTATGATTATAAATATGTGTAATGTAAAAAAAAATACAATTACTTTAAATACATATTAATAACATAAATTTTAATATTAATACTTTCTTGTATCATCATTAAATTAAAAAAATGGTACTATTATTCGTTATATATATATATATATATATATATATATATATACGCATTTTAATACAATAATATGGAATATATATATATATATATATATATATATATATATATATATATATATATATATATATATATATATATATATATATATATATATATATATATATATATATATATATATATATATATATATATATATATATATATATATATATATATATATATATATATATATATATATATGTGTGTGTGTGTGTGTGTGTGTGTGAAATTATTATTACCTGATCAACGGGGTGAGCTAATGGGATTTCGAAATGCTCGTTCCACACGGGATTTTGTGAGTCATGTGCTCGTACACGGGCGGTCCGAGCAACTCTGGCTTCTCCGAGGTACACCTTAATGTATGGGTGCTTTAGGAACCGACGGACATGCTCAGAGACAAACTCCATGCTTGCAATGCGTCGAACTTCGATAATTACAAGGTCCAAATCTCCATGGAGATAAACTGTTTCGTTGTTTTCCATTTTTCTAGCTACCAATGATATACTTAAATATATGTGTTGTATATCTATACTTAGTAATCAAAGAATTTTGTAGTAGGATTTAATTCTTGAGACACAATGTGATATGTTATATACTACTGAGTTGGAACACTTAATTGGATTAGTTGATGAATTTATTTAGAACAAAGGGTTCATGTATTCATATCTTACCTTAATTAGTCTAACATTAATGAAATGTTGGAATTGATGATGCATCACTTTAATACCATATTTGTTTTTTAGCTGAATAAATTTGTTTTTTTTTCATGTACCTGTTTACGCAATATCATCCCCCCGCTCTTTCCTTTTAAAGAAATATAAGAATATGGCATCAATATTGCTTTAGTAAACACCTAATTGTTTTGCGGAAGAAAAGTGAAGGAAAATAAGAAAATCATATAAAAATACTACTATTTGGAGTGAGTGATTAAAGTTTTTTTTTTTTTGGAAAATTAGCAAGAACCCCATCTAGGAAATATAATTAAGAAAAATCTCCCTTCCAAATATAATTAAAGAAAACCCCTTTTGTTGTTAGCTTCGATAGTTAATGAAGGTTAACTCCCTTACATCTAACCCTAAATTTTGTCATCTCATCTTACGCCGTTATTCCTTTCTTTCCTTTTTAGTAGTTAGATTCTTAATCGGCTATGCTTCATAGGCGATTAATATGCCTGATAAAAAAAATTAAAAAAATATTTTGTTTAAAGAATTTCCTTAATCGATTATGTTTTATAGTCAATTTTCCTTAACCAACTATGCTTCATAGTTGATTAATAAAACTGATACAAATCAAAAATTAATAAAACCGGAAAAAAAAGGCAGATGACCAGCAGGTGCTGTAATGATGATGTGGGCGCGTGACGCAATGATAATGTGGCGGAACGGGGCAAAAATGGAAAAAATAATGACTTAAAATAAGTGTGGGCTTTTCTCAAATGGAGCAAAATATTTTGGGCATCTCCCCATTAAAAGAAGTAATGAGAGCTTTCTCAAAGAACTCCTTTTTTTTTTCTAACAATATTCTTATCACTCAAAATTCAGAAAAATTAACCAAAAATATACACTACTATTTTTTGGGAATTCGTATCCAATGTATGCAATTTTTGCGTTTAATTTGCGCTTTTTTTAGGGGTCTTTACAAATAAGCTCATCAATGGTTACTTATTCATAAAAAATCCAGACAATAAACTCCTTTACAAATAAGTCCACACATGGTCCAGATTTTTGTAAAAGACTAAAATAGCCCCTCATACTTTAATATGCTCCAATTTCAATTTCATCATTTAATTTAATTTAACCTCAATTTGACCCCAAATTTCACAAATTATTCAATTTTGACCCAAAACACATTTTTATGGACAATTTCGTCCGTCACTGCCGTTGACCGTCGATCAACCGCCGGTCTTCGGCGTTGAATTTTTCATTCTTTTTTTTTTTCCAGATTTTTTCGCCGTTTTCCGGCGTTGAATTTTTTTTTCTCCCGATTTTTCCGCCACCGGTTTTCGGCGTTGACTTTTAGAATTTTTCTTTTTTTTTCTTTCTTTCTTTCTTTCTTTCTGTAACATCTTTTTTTTCGTTTAAACAACAATATTGCTGTGATTGACAGTAATTCAAATGTATTACTATTAAACACAGTAAAATTAACTATACTACAGTTTAACACAGTAATATTGCTATATATTAATCTCTAGCACAATAATGTTAACACAACAAAACTAATTATATTGTGTAATAGAGTAATATTACTATGTTGACCGTTCAACAAATGTAAACATAATAAAAAGCCAAAGAATTAATATTACTGTGAGTGATAGTAATATTAATATAACAACAGTAATATTACCGTCAACCACAGTAATATTACAATAATAGACAGTAATATTATTACGTTACTCCGTGAACAATTCAAACAAACAAAAAAATCCAAACAAAATAATAATATTGATGTGGTTGACAACAATATTACTATAATAACAATAATATTACCATCAACCACAGTAATATTATTGTGTTTACAGTAATATTACAATAATAGACAGTAATATTATGACGTTACTCCGTGAATAACTCAAACAAAACAAAAAAGTCAAAAAAATAATAATGATGTTGTTGACAGTAATATTATTGTGTTTACAGTTATTTTACTGTCAACAACAGTAATAAAATTACGTTCACTTGTCAACAAATCAAAAAAAGAAAATAATAACAAAAAATAAAATAAAAATAATATTACGTTAATTTACCGTCAACGACAGAACAATTACATAAATGTAGTGTCAACTGCAGTACAATTACGTCAATGTACTGTCATTGACAGTATAATTATGTTAATTTACTGTTAGTGACAGCACAATTACGGTCAACGTTTAGCGGCGGACATAAAAAAATAAAAAAATAAAAAATAAAAAATCGAAAAGTCAACGCCGGAATCCGACGGCAAATAAATTTTTTGTTGAAAAAAAATTGAAAAAAAAAAGTCAAAGTTGGGGTTACAAATAAGAATTGGGTATAAACGGTTGGGGTAATATTGTCATATATATAATTGTTTCCTTTATTTATAATAAATATTAAAGGGATGGGCTTATTGGTGAAAGAGATATAAGAGCAACTCTAACGCAAAATATCAAAATTGAATTATCAAATATTCATTTGATATCTGAGATAATATTTAAATATTGATTAAAATTTATCAAATCCAACCATGGTTATCAAAATCAATTACCAATTGGAAGTTTAAGGGTGATTTTATTTGTAATCGCCACATGTCAACTTCTGATTGGATCTTTAAATAGTTACATTTTTGATAACTCAATTTCCAGCAAGTAAATTTACATACAAAGAGGGGAATTATCAAAATAGAACCCTCATTTGATAACCCCATTGGAGTTAAAAATATCTATTTTTTAGTATGTAAATGGTGGTTAATGGTTTGAATACCATGTTTGATAACCCCATTGGAGTTGATCTAACCCCTAAACATAGAATAATAAAGATGCTTGGTTACAAACATATGCACAAAAACCATTTTTTTTATAGGAAAAGAAAAAAGAAATTAACAATACACTTATATAGAAAATCTTGATTACGAAGAACAGTTAGTAGTTAAAACCGTTGATTATATATTACATAAATTCAGAAATAAGGTAGAATTGAGGAAGAAGGGTAATATCAGAACCGGTTTTAAGGGGAGGCAACGTAGGCGGTCGCCTATGGTCATCAATTTTTTTTATTAAATTTAAAGCCTTCAAATTTTTTTATACCCTTTATATATTACTCCTAGCATTTATTCGAAAAACAATTATACTATGTATATAAATTTTAAGAACCCTAATTCATACTATATTAACTCAAGTATTGTTACTTGTTTCCATAATTCCTCTAATCATGGGACATCTAATTATTAAATTCAAATGTATTAGTTATTTATTTATATATATATTCACTTGTTTTAGTGCTACTTAGTGCAAATTATTCTTAAAAAAAATCTGAGGCGCTGTCCCCGAATCCCTGAAAACTTCAACCCCACTATATTATAATTTTCTACCATTGCCACTTGTTATATACCTTACAAAAACAAGTTAACATAGAGTTTATCACCTTTTTTAAAATGGAGATTGTAGAAAGACCCCGTTTTTTAACCGTCTTCAAATCTCGCCTGGAAATCCAAAATCTCAAGAACGACCCTGAGTAATATAAAAATGATAAATAGAGAGAACTTTAATTTTCTTTCATATGTCACAAACTTACATAAAATGGTAAAAAGATGAAAGTCAATACACGAAACCATTTTCACTTTTACTCTCGTACATCAAATAATTCTCATATGTGGAAAAAGTGGCGTGGTATGTTACAAATTCAGCTTAATAAATAAAAAACATACAAAATAAACAATTGCTACTTTAGTATTATTGTAGGAAAAAGATTATCCGATTCTCACATGTGATTGATTTCTTCTTTAATATATCAAAGGGTCCATCTATTCTTATCTTATTATAATAGTGTAACATCAATGAAATATTGGAATTGATGATGCATCACTTTAATACCATATATGTTTTATAGTTGAATACACGATGCCTTTGTTTCTTTCATGTACCTCTTTTACAGAATATTGCTCCTTTTAATATATATATATATATATATATATATATATATATATATATATATATATATATATATAAAAGAAAGAAGGGCAAATGGCAAAAAGGCCCATCGCATGGGACTTAAATGCATTTTGGTCCACAAAAAAAACAGTCTCTCAATTAAGCTCATCCCCATGTCTTTAGTCTAAAATACCCTCAATAATATAATTCTTATCAATTCCACCCATTATGATCTAACTTCCTTAATATTACACATTGACCCCGGATTTAAACAAATATA